TCCTATTGAGCTCTTGGTCTTTTTCATACTCATTTGTATAAACTCATAGTAAATTAGAAATTAACCCTTGGTTTGTCACATGCGTTACAAATATTTCCCCCACTTTGTCATTTCTTTCTGACTTCATTTACGGCCTACTATGCCTTGCAGATGTTTTTATTTTTTTTAATAAATTTATTTATTTATTTTATTTTGACTGCACTGGGTCTTCGTTGCTGCGCACGGGGGCTACTCTTTGTTGCGGTGCATAGGCTTCTCATTGCCGTGGCTTCTCTTGCTGTGGAGCATGGGCTCTAGGCACGTGGGCTTCAGTAGTTGTGGCACACGGGCTCAGTAGTTGTGGCTTGCGGGCTCTAGAGCACAGGCTCAGTAGTTGTGGTGCACAGGCTTAGCTGCTCCACAGCATGTGGGATCTTCCTGGACCAGGGCTCAAACCCATGTCCCCTGCATTGGCAGGAGGATTCTTAACCACTGTGCCACGAGGGAAGTCCTTCGCAGGTGTTTTTAATTTTGTGATTTCAAATTTATTTTTCTTCCTGATTCTGAGTGCATTAGTTTTATAATTTCCAAAAATTCAAGTTGATTGTGTGTATGTGTGTGTGTGTGTGTGTGTGTGTAAAGCATATCAAACACACAGTAGTAAAAGTCCATTAGGGGAAAGTCTATGGCACCAAACCATTCTCTGGGGATTTCTCTACCTCCCAGGCCATGTGGCTCAGTAAATATCATAGTCGGTGGCTTCAGTAATTTTGTAAAGAAGTATCTAGGAGCAGCAATCTGATTTGACAAGCCAGTTAGACTCTGAATCCTCTTTTGGGTTCCAAGTGCATTGAAAGCTTTTACTAAAGGTCTCCAAAAAAAAATTTTTTTTTCTCTTTCCAATGGTCACCTAAGTATTTTAGTGATAATTTTCTTCCTATGAACTAGCCTAGGGATACACTAGTGTGTGTAGTGTGTGATGTGTGTATAGTATGTGGCGTGGTATGTGTGTGCACGAACATGCAGGTATTTAATTTTTTTCCTTTTTTCTTCCTGTTTTTTGTAATTAGTCTTTACTTGTAACAGCTTGGGGGACACTGAAGATTATGGAGCTAGATTTCCTCTAAAACACCCCTCAAGCCACCCCTGATGCCACCCGGGCCTCTGTGTCCTGGCAAGCACCACCCCACACTGAGGCCACCTCCCGAGTCATTATGTCCAGCCCAGAGCACACTTGTGTCTCCCCAGAAATATCCTTGAATAGAGCAGTTCAGAATAGGGCATGGGAACAGGCCAGAGGTTGTAAATCCATTTTCCTTCTTGGCACCAAGGGGCTAGAGGAGCCCAGGCCAGCACAAGACAGCTGAGAAAGAGAAAAGTCAGCATCTGCTGAGGGGCAACACAAGGTCCAAAGGGCCTCCCACTGCCACACTAAATACAAACCATTCACAAAAAACAGGAAAAGATACTGGTCTTGGGGGTAAAAAAATTCCATTCTAAAAAAGAAAAAATCCTGCTCTAGCTCTTCTTTTTACACAGGTATGTGATACTTAATTTCACAATTGTTCAGTAACACTTCCTTGGACTGCATTTCACCTTTCTCTCTTTAAAATAAACATTTCCCTGATCCCATTCTCTAGTTTCTCTTCCTGTCTGGGCATTCCTACGATGCAGCCCCTCTTTAGCCCTTTCTTTTTCTTTAGGCTGGTCTTACAGCATCCTACAACACTGTCCCTTTAAATGATCTTTTTCCAATCACACTTAGTGGCCGGGCTCTGTGGCCACTGAGCAACAATGAGACAACTAGCAAAAATGAGACACACCTTTCGCACAACCAGAGCAGTCTCCCTTCTTACTCTGTCACAGAGGACAGATTAAGCAATGATGGGGGGTCTTGGGTAGGGGGAGTTACTTCCTGCATCCTCAAGGCCCAAATGCCCCTCTGCCTCACCTGCTCAGGTGTCATTGGCCCTGCTTTTTTTTTTTATTATAAATTTATTTATTTATTTATCTTTGGTTGCATTGGGTCTTCGTTACTGCGTGGGCTTTCTCTAGTTGCGGTGGGCTTTCTCTAGTTGCAGCAAGCGTGGGCTACTCTGTTGTGGTGCACGGGCTTCTCATTGCGGTGGCTTCTCTATGTTTTGGGGCATGGGCTCTAGGCACGTGGGCTTCAGTAGTTGTGGCATGTGGGCTCAGTAGTTGTGGCTCCCGGGCTCTAGAGCGTAGGCTCAGCCATTGTGGCGCATGGGCTTAGTTGCTCCGCGGCATGTGGGATCTTCCCGGACCAGGGATCAAACTCGTGTCCCCTGCAATGGCAGGCAGATTCTTAACTGCTGCGCCACCAGGGAAGTCCCCACTGGCCCTCATTTTAACTAGGTGTTACAGAAAGCAGGATCTGCCCATCCCGATCTTTTTCACCTCCATCAACTTGAGATGAGCTGGGAGCTCCCAAAAGGCCTTAGGCCGAGCACTCCTTGGGGTGAGTTTCCTTCTTGCTCAACATCTAAAGACAAGTAGTGACACATGTAGTTTCTGCCTGTCCAGTTTTTCCTAGAGGCCTTCAGTCTCCAGATTGGAGAACTCACCTTTGTGTGGGAGTAACAGTAAGGAAATCTAGGAGCCAGTTCCAATCCCCTCTCCCCTGGTGGGTCCAGGGAGTGAGCATGTGACTTAGACTCAGCCAACCAAATACTCTTTCC